ACATATTATTTTCTCAGTAAATATCAGATGGCATTTGCTTTCATTTTTTCCAAAATGTCCTGCACCCCCGAAGATAGATTTGTAACTGTATCTATAGTCAACAAGAAATGAAGGTTTTCTTTTCGTTTGTCATGTGGAATAATGGTGTATAAAGTTGCAAAATCAAATGTTTTGATTAAAGAATTAAACTTGGTATATTCCTTCCTTTTTGAGAGTATTTTTTAACAGCAAATAAATTGGCAGAGGTCCCATGTTCCACTTATGGTTACAGCCCGAATTATGTCACTGCAAACTACATATGTCTTCAATGCAGGCCACAATGTGAACACTGTGAGGTAAAGATCATTAGATTATTATTGAATGTCCTAGACAATGGCCTTTTGTACACTCCCTTTTTTCTCCCGAAAGCTTACCTGCGCAGTCACCTGTTCTGATGTATCAGTAAAAATAGAATAGTTCTGTCACGAACATACACATCAACAACTTCATGCGATATCTCATTTAAAACGGGCGTGTTCGTCCTTGCATTTGAGTGTTCTGGAAGTGAACATAGTCTTAGAAGTGGGTTTTTGGTAATCATCTGTATCGTGTCTTCCATGATAAGTAAGTGTCATGTACATGCTTTTGAAAGAATGGCCTGTCAGAGGACAGAGAGCGGAGAGTGGAAAGTTTTACAAGTGCAGTTCTGATAGGAACTTGTTTAAATAGTTTGCACAGTATGTCTTATTTGTAATCTGTTTGATCTTTATCTTCTGCAATTTTAACTATCATTCCTGGTAGGTATTTGTATATTTGTTAAATGTTGATACACAACTAGCTTCACAAGCTTTATCAATATCTTTAGATAGTTTAAACATGTTCAGTTCACTGAATTAAGTTGTTTATCTTGTCATATTTACATTTTTCATTGGACAATAATATCTCTAGATATGGATTCAATTGATCAATTGTTTCAGTGAAATATAGATGCCACAGTACCCAAAACGCCCTCCCAGTGTTTGATATTATTTGAAAGAATTTGTGGTATTCATTTTGATCGTGTCTTGTGTGGTAGGTAAGTTCTATGTATCCCCGTGTCATGGGTTTTCGCGCTAAAGAAACTTTCGTAGTTCTGTCGCTAATAATGTGAACAACTGTAAACATCTCACTCACCTATAAATGCCAACTGTATCTAAAAAAACAGGCCTTCATCCGAGTATTTACAATGTTGGTGTTTCGCACTCAAATCGCTGAAGTCTGGGAAACCCTCCATATCCGTGACGTCATATGTTTTCGGACGCCTGATTTATTGGCGGACGACGGGGTATTCCAGTCAATGTACGGTGACCAAGTTTGGATATAATATCGAAGAAGTACGGACTTAGCTCTAAGAAAAGTTTAAAGAATCCTCTCAACGTGGAAAATAAGTTTGTAAGCTATTTACATTGTGTTACAGTCAGTTTTGGTCAATTTTATTCTTCTTTCTCATTGTGGCATGGTCACCAAAACGAGTTGGTCCGCACAACTCTAACTGAAATGCAATACTTTAGATGAGTCAAAGTGAACGGCCAGATATCTCTGAAAAATTTCCCTGTTGGACCATCCTGAATCGCTAACAGTGCCAGACATTCCAGATGGGCAGTCTTGCAGAATCCTTGTTCATACGTTTCCCTTTGAAGATGAAAAAAGGAGGTATGACATTTCCGATGGTATTTCCGCATCCAATAACTGTGGTAGTGATTGAGCGTTGGCACGTCACTGCAACAAGGTTGTCTTCTGTGGAACCGACAACACAGTCATCTACGTTGTAAAGTTGCTCTGGGCTTTCCTTCAGATCATACATGTCCAATAGCTCCTCCAAGCGGTTATAATAATGACATACATTTTCCTCGGATGTCGCTCTTGCTCTTTGAATCTCCAGAGATCTTGGTTTTTGAACCTTAAGTTGTGGTCACCTCTTCATGAAACTGTAACCATTGTATGGAGAAAGGCTTGTCATCCTTATCTTTCTTTCCAAGGTGAACAACACTCGTACTTCGATGACGCCACACGGCTCGTTATAGCGCGAGAAATGGCGATAAACATGTCCGTCCGAAAACATAGGATCGTACGATATAAAGTGTTACAGTAGAGTTCGTTCTAAATAGAAAATTGTCTCAGATAATACTGGAGAAAGATTGATTTGGAATTTGTGGGGAGTAGTGCACTTTACCCGGTGCACCTTTTCAGATCCAATTAGCGCTGTGGGGTCTCGAACGCGTCTCACCGGCTTGGTTAATTAATGCGTTAATTAGCCTGCGTTAATTACCGTTAACTAACCGACGCTCTACCACTGGATGACATGTAATCAGTGCTCGTTTAACGGTTCATTAGCACCCCGATGACGTTACAGAGCGGATGGTGGCGCATGGGAAACTGCAATTGTTGCCAATTTGTGTAAATACATTATTTCATTTATTTAATTTGTTTTACTATGTTCAAAAGGTGTCTATGGTCAGAACAATCAAACGGAAACATCTCCTCCATCACCACCATTGGAAGGTAATGCTCTCCCCACATTTCCAGGAAGTGTAAAAATAATGTTTTCCTTAACATCAAAATACCTCATGCATAGCTGGCCCACCTTATTGACGGCATCTTTACATTTAGAAAAAACAACCGTTTTGAACATCATAAAATACCCCCACGCGCTATCTGTAGAATAACAAAATGTACGTTTGCAGGTGTCAGCGGTCAGACCCACTCCACGGAAACAGCTCCTCCATCACTGCCAACGCAAGGTAACCATTCTCGTGAGTCTGATTTCTTATGAATATGGAAATGATTTTGTCGCTTTTATTCTCTACACCAGTCATTATACACAGTATAGTACTTACAAGACATAGTTTTTCTTAATGAAAGCGAGAGGCATTTACAAACAAGATTGTCACACGCATCAAATTCGCTTTGCATTCTATATTCCTTATGCAGAGAACTACTGCAGACAGTATATACTCGAGCTATATCCATTTGCAAAGTACTACAACCGATCGATAGATCGAGGGTCCCCAGGGATGAGCATGACACACCACTTTCACAAATTTCAATAAGCATGGTGAACTAGTCTGAACTATCTGGATATATCTGGACTAACGCTTGAATTATCATAATTTGAATAAATTCTTAAAATATGAACTTGAGTGTTGATGTTGTCAGGGACATGTTGTTAATGCCCATATTTTGGCTTATATCAATATTCATGCGCAACCAGATTTGCAACCAGTTTCAGTTTGGTCTGTCAACGGAAGAAAGTTTTTATTTATTTACACTTAAATATATATTTGACGTAGGTAATAAATAAAATCATTCATTCGTAAAAATGATATCTGATGAGAATCAGTGTAGTATTCTATATGTATGTATGCCACCTCCTATATTGACATCGATTGGTGTGCTGCCTCCCATATAAACAGTGCCTGGCATGGCGCTTCCTTCATGGTATAGCGCCTCCTATATTGACCTGGAATGACAGCACCTGGAAAGCCACCTACATGAGCATCGTCTGATAACCCGCCTCCTACATGGACATCACCTGTTATGACGCCTGCAACATCGACAATGCGTGGTATGCCACCACCTACGTGGACGGCACCTGGTATGCCGCCTCCTACATGGACCGTGCGCGGTATGCCCCCTCCTACATGGACAGTGCGTGGTATGCCACCTCCTACATGGACAGTGCGCGGTATGACACCTCCTACATGGACAGTGCGTGGTATGCCGCCCCCTGTATAGACAGCACCTGGTATGCCGCCTCCTACATGGTACAGCACCTGGTATGCCACCTTCTGTATGGACAGGACTTTGAATACCGCCTCCTTCATGGACAGTACCTGGTATGCCGCCTCCTGTATGGGCAGCACCTGATATGCCGCCTCCTGTATTGACAGCACCTGGTATGCCACCTTCATCATGGACAGTACCTGGTATGCCGCCTCCTGTATGGGCAGCACCTGATATGCCACCTCCTGTATTGACAGCACCTGGTTTGTCACCTCCTGTATGGACAGCACCTGGTATGCCACCTCCTTCATGGACAGTACCTGGTATGCCGCCTCCTGTATGGGCAGCACCTGATATGCCGCCTCCTGTAGTGACAGCACCTGGTATGTCACCTCCTGTATGGACAGCACCTGGTATGCCACCTCCTGTATGGACAGCGCCTGGTATGCCACCTCCTTCATGGAGAGCACCTGGTATGCCACCTCCTGTATGGACAGCACCTGGTATGCCGCCTCCTGTATGGACAACGCCTGGTATGCAAACTCCTGTATGGACAGAACCTGGTATGCCGCCTCCTGTATGGACAGCACCTGATATGCAACATCCTGTATGGAAAGGACCTTGAATACCGCCTCCTTCATGGACAGTACCTGGTATGTCACCTCCTGTATGGACAGTGCCTGGTATGCCACCTCCTGTATGGACAGCGCCTGGTATGCCACCTCCTGTATGGAAAGCACCTGGTATGCCACCTCCTGTATGGACAGCGCCTGATATGCCACCTCCTGTATGGAAAACACCTGGCATGCCGCCTCCTGTATGGACAGCACCTGGTATGCCATCTCCTGTATGGACAGCACCTGGTATGCCGCCTCCTGTATGGACGGCACCTGGTATGCAAACTCCTGTATGGACAGCACCTGGGATGCCATCTCCTGTATGGACAGCACCTGGTATGCCGCCTCCTGTATGGACAGCACCTGGTATGCCACCTCCTGTGTGGACAGCACCTGATATGCCGCCTCCTGTAGGGACAGTACCTGGTATGTCACCTCCTGTATGGACAGTGCCTGGTATGCCACCTCCTGTATGGACAGCGCCTGGTATGCCACCTCCTGTATGGAAAGCACCTGGTATGCCACCTCCTGTATGGACAGCGCCTGGTATGCCGCTTCCTGTATGGACAGCACCTGATATTCCGCTTCCTTCATGGATACCACCTGGTATGCCAACTCCTGTATGGAGAGCACCTTGTATGCCTACTCCTGTATGTACAGCACCTGGTATGCCGCCTCCTGTATGGACAACACCTGATATTCCACCTCCTGTATGGACAGCACCTGATATGCAAATTCCTGTATGGACAGCACCTGGTATGCAAACTCCTGTATGGACAGCACCTGGTATGCAATCTCCTGTATGGACAGCACCTAGTATGACGCTTCCTGTATGGACAGCAACTGGTATGACACCTGTATAGACAGCACCTGGTATGTCACCTCCTGTATGGACAGCACCAGGTATGCAAACTCCTGTATGGACAGCACCTGGTATGCCATATCCTGTATGGACAGCACCTGGTATGCCACCTCCTGTATGGACAGCACCTGATATTCCGCTTCCTGTATGGACAGCACCTGGTATGCCATCTCCTGTATGGACAGCACCTGGTATGCCACCTTCTGTATGGACAGCACCTGGTATGCCACCTCCTGTATGGACAGCACCTGGTATGCCACCTCCTGTATGGACAGCGCCTGGTATGCCACCTCCTGTATGGACAGCACCTGGTATGCCACCTCCTGTATGGACAGCACCTGGTATGCCACCTCCTGTATGGACAGCACCTGGTATGCCACCTCCTGTATGGACAGTACCAGGTATGCAAACTCTTGTATGGACAACACCTGGTATGCCACCTCCTGTATGGACAGCACCTGGTATGCCATCTCCTGTATGGACAGCACCAGGTAAGGCGCTTTCTGTATGGAGAGCACCTGGTATGCCACCTCCTGTATTGACAGCACCTGGTATGCAAACTCCTGTATGGACAGCACCTGGTATGCCATCACATGTATGGAAAGCACCTGGTATGCCACATCCTGTATGGACAGCACCTGGTATGCCGCTTCCTGTATGGACAGCACCTGATATTCCGATTCCTGTATGGACAGCACCTGGTATGCCATCTCCTGTATGGACAGCACATGTTATGCAAACTCCTGTATGGACAGCACCTGGTATGCCGCCTCCTACATGGGAAGCACATGGTATGCCTTCTGTATGGACATCACATGGTATGCCTTATCCTGTATGGACAGCACCTGGTATGCAAACTCCTGTATGGACAGCACCTGGTATGCCACCTCCTGTATGGACAGCACCTGGTATGCCGCCTCCTACATGGGAAGCACATGGTATGCCGCCTCCTGTATGGACATCACATGGTATGCAAACTCCTGTATGGACAACACTTGGTATGCAAACTCCTCTATGGAGAGCACCTGGTATTCCACCTCCTGTATGGACAGAACCTGGTATGCAAACTCCTGTATGGACAACACCTGGTATGCCACCTCCTGTATGGACAACACCTGGTATGCAAATTCCTGTATGGACAACACCTGGTATGTCGCCTCCTGTATGGACAGCATCTGGTATGTCGCCTCCTGTATGGACAACACCTGGTATGCCATCTCCTGTGTGGACAGCACCAGGTATGCCGCTTCCTGTATGGACAACACCTGGTATGCCACCTCCTGTATGGACAACACCTGGTATGCAAATTCCTGTATGGACAACACCTGGTATGTCGCCTCCTGTATGGACGGCACCTGGTATGCCATCACCTGTATGTACAGCACCTGGTATGCCATCACCTGCATTGACAGCACCTGGTATGCCTTATCCTGTATGGACAACACTTGGTATGCAAACTCCTCTATGGAGAGCACCTGGTATTCCACCTCCTGTATGGACAGAACCTGGTATGCAAACTCCTGTATGGACAACACCTGGTATGCCACCTCCTGTATGGACAACACCTGGTATGCCACCTCCTGTATGGACAGTACCAGGTATGCAAACTCTTGTATGGACAACACCTGGTATGCCACCTCCTCTATGGACAGCACCTGGTATGCCATCTCCTGTATGGACAGCACCTGGTATGCCGCCTCCTGTATGGACAGCACCTGGTATGCCACCTCCTGTATGGAAAGCACCTGGTATGCCATCTCCTGTATGGACAGCACCTGGTATGCCACCTCCTGTATGGACAACACCTGGTATGCCATCTCCTGTATGGACAACACCTGGTATGCCACCTCCTGTATGGACAACACCTGGTATGCCACCTCCTGTATGGACAGTACCAGGTATGCAAACTCTTGTATGGACAACACCTGGTATGCCATCTCCTGTATGGACAACACCTGGTATGCCGCCTCCTGTATGGACAGCACCTGGTATGCAAACTCTTGTATGGACAACACCTGGTATGCCATCTCCTGTATGGACAACACCTGGTATGCCGCTTCCTGTATGGACAACACCTGGTATGCCACCTCCTGTATGGACAGTACCAGGTATGCAAACTCTTGTATGGACAACACCTGGTATGCCATCTCCTGTATGGACAACACCTGGTATGCCATCTCCTGTATGGACAACACCTGGTATGCCGCCTCCTGTATGGACAGCACCTGGTATGCAAACTCTTGTATGGACAACACCTGGTATGCCATCTCCTGTATGGACAACACCTGGTATGCCATCTCCTGTATGGACAACACCTGGTATGCCACCTCCTGTATGGACAGTACCAGGTATGCAAACTCTTGTATGGACAACACCTGGTATGCCATCTCCTGTATGGACAACACCTGGTATGCCGCTTCCTGTATGGAAAGCACCTGGTATGCCATCTCCTGTATGGAAAGCACCTGGTATGCCATCTCCTGTATGGACAGCACCTGGTATGCCACCTCCTGTATGGACAACACCTGGTATGCCATCTCCTGTATGGACAACACCTGGTATGCCACCTCCTGTATGGACAACACCTGGTATGCCACCTCCTGTATGGACAGTACCAGGTATGCAAACTCTTGTATGGACAACACCTGGTATGCCATCTCCTGTATGGACAACACCTGGTATGCCGCCTCCTGTATGGACAGCACCTGGTATGCCGCTTCCTGTATGGAAAGCACCTGGTATGCCATCTCCTGTATGGACAGCACATGTTATGCAAACTCCTGTATGGACAGCACCTGATATTCCGATTCCTGTATGGACAGCACCTGGTATGCCATCTCCTGTATGGACAGCACATGTTATGCAAACTCCTGTATGGACAGCACCTGGTATGCCGCCTCCTACATGGGAAGCACATGGTATGCCGCCTCCTGTATGGACATCACATGGTATGCCTTATCCTGTATGGACAACACTTGGTATGCAAACTCCTCTATGGAGAGCACCTGGTATGCCGCCTCCTGTATGGACAGCACCTGGTATGCAAACTCCTGTATGGACAGCACCTGGTATGCCGCCTCCTGTATGGACAGCACATGTTATGCAAACTCCTCTATGGAGAGCACCTGGTATGCCGCCTCCTGTATGGACAGCACCTGGTATGCAAACTCCTGTATGGACAACACTTGGTATGCAAACTCCTCTATGGAGAGCACCTGGTATGCCGCCTCCTGTATGGACAGCACCTGGTATGCAAACTCCTGTATGGACAACACCTGGTATGCCACCTCCTGTATGGACAGTACCTGGTATGCCACTTCCTGTATGGCCAGCACCTGGTATGCCGCCTCCTACATGGGCAGTGCGTGGTATGCCGCTTCCTACATGGACAGTGCTTGTTATTCCACCTCCTACATGGACATGGACAGCACCGGGTATGTCGCCTCCTACATGGACAGCACCTGGTATGTCGCCTCCTTCTTGGACAGTGCTTGGTATGCCGCCTCCCAAAAGGACAGTGATTGGTATGCCGCCTCCTTCGTGGACAGCACCTGGTATGGCGCCTCCCAAAAGGACAGTGCATGGTATGCCGCCTCCTGTATGGACAGCACCTGGTATGCAAACTCCTGTATCGACAACACCTGGTATGCAAACTCCTCTATGGACAGCACCTGGTATGCCGCCTCCTGTATGGACAACACCTGGTATGCCGCCTCCTACATGGGCAGCACCTGGTATGGCGCCTCCTAAAAGGACAGTGCTTGGTATGCCGCCTCCTTCGTGGACAGCACCTGGTATGGCGCCTCCGAAAAGGACAGTGCATGGTTTGCCGCCTGCTACATGGACAGGACCTGGTATGGCGCCTCCCAAAAGGACAGTGCTTGGTATGCCGCCTCCTTCGTGGACAGCACCTGGTTTGCCGCATCCTACATGGGCAGTGCCTGGTATGCCGCCTCCTACATGGACGGCACCTGGTATGCCGCCTCCTACATGGACAGTGCGCGGTATGCCGCCTCCTACATGGACAGCACCTGGTTTGCCGCCTCCTTCGTTGACAACACCTGGTATGCCGCTTCCTACATGGACAGTGCGTGGTATGCTGCCTCCTACATGGACAGTGCGTGGTATTCTGCCTCCTACATGGGCAGTGCGTGGTATGCTGCCTCCTACATGGACAGCACCTGGTATGCCGCCTCCTACATGGACAGTGCCTGGTATGCCGCCTCCTACATGGACACAACGTGATACGCCACCCCCTGTTTGGACTACATCCTGTATTGGTAGCACATGATATGCCGCAATGTTTTCTTGTGGCCGGCATTTTCTTTTTATTTCAAAAGTCTGAAGCATCATGATTTTGTGGAGGAATTTTCAGGGACAATGTTTTTTTTCAAATGATCGGCTACTTACATCAGTATGAGATCCATGCACTTCAGATATCTGCTAGATTTGATACATACATGTACGTGCGTTTGTGTATGGCTGCTTGTACTTGTCCATACTATTGCTGAATTTTTGTGCTAGTCATCTGAGATAACATGCCGCAGTTAGACACATGAAAACACCACTCAAACACAGTATATTGACTTCGAGGTGACCAGTTCTAGTTTAAGGGTGGATGATTTAACAGTACAGTCCAGACTGAGCCTCCAGTGACTATTTCCTGTTCCGGCAAATGAAATCTGCCCTACGTGGAAAACGCTTCCAGGATGACGAGGACATAAAGGCTTCCACAGATGCGTGGTTAGAGGGCCAATCTGCGGATTTCTATAAAAGTGGTATTAAAAGCTTGAAGGCCAAATGGAAAAAGTGTATTGAGGTGAATGGAGATTATATTGAAAAATAAAAGTGCAAAAGATATTCTACAACTTGGTCTTGTATTGAAGTTGGAAAACTTATTGAACGCCCCTCGTATGTTTTAACTTATCTTGGTATGTGCTCTGCACTGGTGGTTAATCTGCAAAGGGCATTGATTCAAGTGAGCGGGTATCAAGGTGTTCCTAGCAAGAAGACGAATGTTGCATGGGATCTCAATGTAGTTTTGAGGCTTCTGACTTTTGAGTCCCCATAAAACTCTTGGACACAGCTGCAGGTTTCGAAGAGGTCCATGCGCTGGACGTCATGCAAGTCACCTTCAATGGGTAATGCAGATGATGTACCCCATGTTGGGCGACACATGCACGGCACTTTGATGGCACTATTCTGTCTGAAGAGCTACCCCAATCTGGACAACACTCTCCGCCAGAGGACATTCCCCAGATATAATCTATTGGGAACATGTCAGGGGACTTAAAGGGCCAGTCCAATGTCCGTATGCCTTTTCATTGGAAATAATCTGGGCACGATGTGATCTGGCATTTTCATCTGTCAGTTCACTGACGTTAAGACGGTTCTTGTCCCCCAGTCGAGAAATGACACTTTTTGATTTGCCAAACATTCGTGCAGCACGGGATATTGACGTCCCCACCTCTATCGTACTCACAATTCGACATATTATCTGTGCATCGAGACACAGGTGTGTGCTTAGCTCAATAGAACAACTCATTGTTACACTTTAGCTTTCATGTGCACGCGCGTCTCTTTCAGTCATCATGTGAAAAGAAATGATTTTGCAACGCCACGGTAAAGGTCGTTTATACTGCAGTGGAGCGTCAGGCAACAAACACTTACAACTGTATGCAAATCATGGCAGCAGCAGGTGCGACCGGTAGGGCAGGATGGACATGCCATGGGAGGATACCCCCCCCCCCCCCCCTTTTTATTTCGAAAAAAAATCATTATTTCTGTATAAATTACCACCTAAGACAATAAATAGATCTTACTTGTGAACCCCCCCTTTTAAGAAAAGCTGTTCCATTCATATAACTGTCACTGCTATTTTGACTATATTGCCAGTGAAATCTGTTTCTGAGGATAATCGTTGCCGTGTGTGTCATGTTTCTGCTTTCTTAGCGTTACGGGAAAGATGCGCAAAAGTACCTGGTACTTCATTGTGAGGAGTTTACGTCAAGTCATTATGTGAACTACATACCAACTCATCTGTTATAGCCCCTGCACACGACTATTGCCTTTTTGGAGTTAAAGAAGGTGTCCTTAATGGAGAATGCAGTATCGGCAACGGGTATGTCCTAAATCTGTTATGGTGTGTGTTTCAGATACAAGATCATTATAGCACGAGCAAAGTAATTGAGTTTGTCTTATACTTCACCCTTAATAAACATATAAAAAGTTCTAGTGTCTATTTTAAGTATGCATTTAATCATTCTTCCAGAAACGCCAAGATGGCTATTGTGTTTGTGAGTCTTGCTATATTTGCTGGAATTGGCTTCCTTATTTACTTCTGTCGGAAGCAATGCAACAAAATGGACAAACAAGCAGTTGGTCGAGGGATAACCATGTGCAATTGCTGTAACTGTAGTAAGTACATAGTTCAAATCTCTTAAAATGATTGATTATGCTTCAAGCATAATACGGCTCATAAATATGCCTCACATAATACACCAAATATAAATACAAAGCTGGGAACAGTAAAGATTTTAATAGAAAGAACAGCTTTGAGAACATGAAGACCACCTCTCACTCGATCTCTTCCTGCATATAGGGTCAAAACCATTCACGACTCAGGACTGACACATTCAGTTGCCTTTTAGCTCTGGATCCTTCAGACCATGTCCCGTTTCATGTTACTGGCGTATGCCTATGGTCTCGTGATGTTTTTCACTTGAGGACTCTCGTGAAAATAACAATGAGATTCATGAAAGGATACGACGAAGAATAAAGTGGAACATGAAACAGAAAACAAACCTTGGCCTGACTGATTAAGACGCCCTCCCCACTCTCTCGGTCTCGCTCTCAGACACTCTTTAATGGGTAATACTCAAGTGTATGAGTGCAACTGTCAATGTTCCTCGGGAGAGTTGGTTTCTGACATTGAATGCACGCAACCATTGACAGCTTGTCTTTATAATGTGCCTGCCATTTTTGACTGATAATTTCAATAAATAAAATTTTGTTTATCACATATTGGTATAATTTTGTTAATATTAATCTAACATCATGGTTATTTCTTTGCAGATTTCATCAATACAGTAGATCACGAACCACCACAACCACCACCCTATAAGGCGTAAATTGATAATAGTGTGAGCATGTCTTATTACATTCTGCTTGGTACAATTTTGAAAAATTCATATACAGGTTTATAGTTACTGTAGGGTTTAAGAAGTGGGGTCACAGATTTGTTGAGTGCTGCCTAAGCATCAGCATCAGGCAAACAACAAAAGACGATGTCATATTGGCCAGTAGCAAGATAATTGTGTAATTCAATTATGTCACGTAAAACTGGATGTTGACACAAAGTATTTTTTATTGCCCGAAGCCAGGACAGCGAGTCTGAAAAAATAATGAATTCCTTATGTTAAGACTGTTTATTTATATATTCTAGAGCAGTTAAAATGGACTTTGATTCAGTTGTAAAAATGGATGAGTTAACAGGTGATCTCGTTGATAAAGTTCTGGATCCAATGACAGTGGCGCTGGCGACAGCATACCCACCCTTTGATCCATCGGTAGAAATAGATAGAAGTATCACATTCGCTTCTTAACTGATTATATTCTTTTCATATTGTAGTTGATTGGTGTAAGATTTCTTTCGATTAGATAAGGTAAAATCGACCTGTGGCTTTACCAATTGTCAAGGAGGAGAAGAAAACAGACGGAAAGGAGATATATTTTCAAGTTTAACATCAGCAGCAGAAATAAAAGATTTCATTCTTATTCCAAGAGATTATTTCTTACTATACAGCTCCTAATAAAGAGAATTAAACAAACGATTAAACACACAGTTGTATGCGGGGTTAGACTGATTAGAATATAGTGAGTGAGTGAGTGAGTGAGTTTGGTTTAACGCCGCTTTTAACAGTATTCCAGTTATATCGCGGCGTGTCAGCTTAATGTGGGAGGAAAGCCCGAAGTGATGCAGGTCACAGACGTTTAGAACTTCGTTGAAACCCACAAGCACGGGTATGGTGCTGACAAACTTAGAAACATAATCCAGGCGAACCGGGATTCGAACCCACAATCATAGGTTTCTGGCGTGCCCAAGGGACGCAACCCTGCGCAGCGAATCGCGGCGCTTTAGACGACTGGGCCACCCGTGCCCCCTGATTAGAATATAACTTTGTTATGTACTGTAAGGCTAATTTAATACAGCGTTGTTAAAGAGATCATCGGCTGTGTGTGTTCATCGGCCTCAACACACAGACTGTCAATAGGAGAAGTTCCTAAAAGATCCAAGACAAAGACCCTGGTGTTACTCATACAAGCTCCACTTCAGATGATGGAGTTATAATCGAATTTAGAGTGAGTGAGGGAGTGAGTTAAAGTTCAACGTCACATCGGCAATATTTCAGCCATATCGTGATGAAAAAAAAAATGACATCAACATTATATATTAAACTGTATAAAATTCTAACCGACGCCGGGCAGTATAATAACTAGAATATCATAGATTTTCATAAAACTAGTTTAAGAACATGTACAAATTGAGTGAGTGAGTGATTGAGTTAATGCTTTACGTCACATCGGCAATATTTCAGCCATATCGTGACGAGAAATTATACATTTTTTAATACATATATTTTAACAAGATAAAAACCTGTCATCAATATCACAGATTAATATTTAAAACTAGCATACAACTATACAAAGATGTCACTATAAATAACGGTACAATATAAAAAAGGGCTATA